CTTCCATCGGCTGTCGAGAACGAGACCCAGATATTTCATGGTGCTCCCGACGCCGATGGAAGTTCCGCCCACCACGACTTCGGACCCGGCCGGAGGCGCCCTACGAGGCCCGTGAAAGCAAAGGGCCTCAGATTTATGTAGGGCTACCTCCAGGCCGAGTCTACGAATCCGGGCCACGACCTGGGCCACTCCTGCTGTGGCCCTGCACCGGGCCACGCGCTCGGTGCTGCCCTGAGCCGTCACGAGGGTGTCGTCGGCATAGCACACGACGTTAACACCCCTCGGGACGGCCCCGCGCAGCACCCAGTCGTACCCGATGTTCCACAGGAGGGGCCCGAGGACCGACCCCTGTGGAACACCGCACGACATGGCCCTTTCGAGCCAGCCCTCGCCGGTGGGGCACCCGACCGATCTTTCGGAGAGGTAGGCCGCCACGATCCTACGGAGGTACAATGGGACCTCGTGGTACCTCAGCGCCTCCCTAATGCAGCTCCAGGGCAGGGTGTTGAAGGCGTTAGATATGTCTAAGGACACCGCCACCAACACCCCACCCTGGGCCACCGCGCTATCCGCAAGGGCCCTCACCCGCGCTATTGCGTCAATGGTGGATCTGCCCCTGCGGAAGCCGAATTGGTTAGGGCTGAGGTCCGGCCCTACCGTCTCCAAGTGCTGTACGAGGCGAGCAGCTACAACCCGCTCAAACAGCTTGCTCACCTCGTCCAGCAAAACGATCGGTCGGTATGCCGACGGCTCGTGAGCCGGCTTTCCTTCTTTTTGGAGCAGGACCAGTTTCCCCCTTTTCCACCCTTCTGGAACCTGGCCCTGCTCAAGACAGCACTGAAATAGACGCCGAACCCACGGCTCGAGCGGCCCCAGTGCTAGGGCCCAGGCGCGGCCAGGGATTCCGTCGGGGCCTGGGGCGGTGTTTTTGGCGCGCATGCGCAACACCGCCGCCCTAAGCTCTTCCTCCGTTACCGGCGGCACGCCTGGGTCCTCTTCTCCCTCTACAGTAGGAGGCGCCATAATGGGCGCCTCGTGTTCGGCGCTGTGCGGAAACAAGCCCGCGACCACCGACTCCAGGACGAGAGGCTGGAGACTCCGCGTAATGGGAGGCCCTCTAGATCGCAATTTTCTCCGAACAGCCTTGTAGGGCCTCCCGAATGGATCTTTATCCAGAGCCTCCAGCATCTCGTCATTCGCTCGGTCTTTGGCCACGCCTATGGCCGTCCGCAGCGCCTGAACTGACTCTCTGTAGAGGGAGTAGAGCCGCTCTTCTTCCGCCGGGTCTCGGCGTCTACGCCTGCGGTAGCGGGTGTACTGGCGTCTCGATGCCGCGCAAGAACCACGCAGCAGCGATAGTTCTTCGGACCACCAGTACACCGGCCGCATCGAGGGAGCGGAGCGCACTCTAGGCATGGCCCCATCACATACGCGCGACATGGCCTCGCCGAGGCGCGCCGCCCCCTCACTTACTTCTCCGATGCCGCTCTCACGGGGCGAGGAGAACCACGCCTCTACGAGGGCGACCTCGACCAAGAAGTCCCGGTCCATTTGCGACAGTGACCAACGGGGACCCTCCCGACTCAGGGGCCGGTTTGGGTCTCTCGGGTTAGCTGGAGACGCGGAGACGGCGAACCTCACATAGCGGTGGTCCGACAGCGTCTCCACGTTCTCCAGCACCTCCCAACAGCGAACGCGACGGGCCAGGGCGGCGTCAGCAAAAGTGACATCCACAATGGAGCCACCCTGACGCCGCACGCATGTTTGTACCGACCCCCGGTTCAGTACCACCAGTCCGGTCACTGTCGCCCATTCCTCCAGCTCTTGTCCGCGCGGATCGGTCGCCGGGCACCCCCACGCCTTTGATTTTGCGTTTAGGTCCCCGGCGACGAGCACCCGGGAGGAGCGTCTTCCGCCTACCAGGCCGCCGACTTCGGAAAGAAAATCCTCGAAGTCGGCGAGGCTCCGGTTCGGCGAGAAGTACACCCCAATCACCGTGATGTCGCCGACAAGAGCGGAGATGAACCCCCGGCCTCGGACCACGTCGACGAAGGCCGGGGAGCCCACTATGGACCGGGACGTCATGGCTACTACGCCATCTAGGTCCCCCACCCAGTCACCCCCAGACGGGACGCGGTAAGGCTCGGCTACCACTGCCACGTGGATCATCCACTCCGCCATGCTCTGGAACAGAAGATCCTGAGCTCTGGCGGAGTGGTTGATGTTCGCCTGGAGGAGGTTCAACTGCGTACCTATCCTTCCATCATTTGAACCTCCTCTGCCTCAGGCGCTCCCGCCTGGGGTGAGGGAGGCGACTGTCCGGCTGCCTGGCTCGGACTATCCTTCCCTCTCTTCTTCTTCCCCTTGGATGGGGGAAACATAACATGTCCCTACGCTAACCTTTTGCTTCTCAATTTCTTCTGGTATTTTCAAACTTCCTCTACACACGTTATTAACTTTATCCCTTCTTTATTAGCTAAGTGATTACTTAATATCTGTGTAAACATTTTCATTTCCAGCAATCGAGTTTGCTGGCATACAATGTCAAGTGCAGTATGGTGATTTCCAAGAAGATAAACACAAGCCTGGTTTCCTTGAGAAGTGAGTTAATACTTACGTCGATGGTTTTTAACCACACAAATATTGTTAATTTTTCGTTATTGTGCAGTTTGAAAGAATTCCTACCGGAGCAGTACGCTGGGTCGTGGGGGGCGGAGCGCAAGGTGCTGAAAGAGTACAGCAAACACCACGGCCTCAGTCCTCTTGAGGCAAAGCATCTTTACACCCAGAATGCTAGAGAACTGCCCACGTATGGAGTCACCTTCTTCTTGGTTAAGGTAAGAATTATGGGACTTAAGTAACGTATTAGGACTAGCTTTCTCCCGCGATTTCATCCGCGTGGAATTGAAAAAACAAAAGTGAGTATATGTGTTCCTCCAAACTATCCTCTACATTTATGCCAAATTTTATCTAGATCCGTTCATCAGTTTAGGCTACAAACTAACAAACATCCATCTAAACTTTCGCATTTATAATATTAGTTCATTTTAGTATACTTCTCACGAATCTGTTTGAGTCTGTTTTTTTTTAACTAAATGTCTTTTCATTCGTCTCTAGGAGCAACAAAAAGGTAAAAAGAAGTTGGTCCCTCGTCTGCTGGGAATCAACGCGGAGTCGATCCTGCGGCTGGATGAGGTCACGAAGGAGATCCTGCAGGTGTGGAAGCTGACGCAGGTGAAGACCTTCAAAGCTGGAAAGGAGATGTTCACCCTGGACTTTGGAGACTACAGGTAACTGAGACTTAGTCAAGCGTTAATAATAGAACAGATTGCGTTCTAAAATAGAGTTTTTCAAATGCTAATGCAGTTTTTATTTATCAAAATTCACTATTTTTTTAATAAATCTTACTAATATTATACATATACGTATTGTAGCCTAAACTGGTGAACGGATCTCGAGGCCAAAGATGTAGATAGCATGGAAGAACACATAGGCTCATTTTGAACCCGGAAATGGTTATAGTTCCCGTGGGTTGCATTAATTTAATTCTTTATGTTTATAATTATGCAACTGTTAACATATGTTATTAAGATTAGACACAGGTTTAAAACCAAATCTGGAGAAACACCATGAATATGGTTCATCTCCGAAAAATATCAGGTTCCCGCGGGATATATAGTTTGTTGCATAGTTCGTATGTTTTCACCGCGCGTATTGTTGGGATGGCGTTCCGTGGGTTCTTTTATTAAATACACATACTTTAACTACTGCGAAATTTATTGTTTAAAATCTAAAGGTTATAGACTTCCTGCTAACGACTATCGGTCTCGAAGTTTATATTGGAACCGAAGGGTTATTGATGTAGTGTTTTACGCCAATAAGGACTTGTTTGATAGTACGAATTCGCAGTTAGTAAATAGTTCTTACAACAGGTTTAAACGTATATTTGGGGTTTTAAATAGTGTTTTGTCCAGTGACAAACAGTACACAGTTAAGACGAACGAGGCGCAGCGCATCCGCGACATCCTGCAGGGCTACATCGACATCGTGCACCGCGCGCTCGCCGCCCCCTACAACCCCATCAGTTACGAGGGGGAGGTTATCTGCGAAGATAACGTACAGTCTTCTAAGTAAGTCTTTAAAATTTAATAAAAAACCTTCATGTTGTAATCAAAAAAATTACAGTGTTATACAGCAAAAAAAGATATAAGAAAATTTGTAACATACGGGGGAGGCTCAGTATAACTGATACTGGTTGAGATCTAAAGTCGAGATAATTTTCAGCCCTCCCCCCCCCCCTTCTCAAGATGTAAAATGGAGAGTAAATAGTCGAAGGGTGTTAGTAGTAAACTAAACTGAATAATCCCAACAGATTGATCAATTTAAAGAAAAAAATCAGTAGAAGTAAAGAGTAACCCAAATGAAACTGTTAATTTTTTTTTTTTTTATTGTCTGCAATCAGTCTTTAAAACTTTTAGCAAATGTGAGGAAGGATTAAGTTTTCAGAACATTTTCTCCATCGAGAAACTTCTTCTTTTTCAGAAGATCCTAAAGGATCTATTTCTTAGATAATTGTGGCCCTTTTGAGTCTCCTTCTGTGACCACATTTTGGTAGGACTGCGACCAAGGGATTGTGGTGGTCTGCAATTCGGTTTTTATAGCGCTCAGCAATAGATATAATTTCCTGCTGGACGGTGTTCACTTTTAAAACCTCATGTACCTCTGAGTTTGTAATGAACCAGGGAGCATTCGAGATGGTCTTAAGTACACGGTTTTGCACCCTCTGTATGATGTTTAAATTTGACGTACTTGCAGTACCCCAAACTTGTATCCCATATGTCCAAATTGGTTTGAGAACAGCATTATAAAGTAGAAGCTTATTGTCTATAC